CAGCCACTCCTCATAAGACTTGTGCTCCAAACCCTTCACCAGTTTCGTTGCCCTTCTCTGGACACACTCTAGGGCCTCAATGTCTTTCTTGCAGTGAGGGGCCCAAAACTGAACACAGTACTTGAGGTGCGGCCTCACCAGTGCTGAGTACAGGGGGATGATCACCTCCCTGCTCCTGCTGGCCACACTATTTCTAATGCAGGCCAGGATGCCGTTGGCCCTCTTGGCCACCTGGGCACACTGTCGGCTCACATTCAGCCGAGCATCAACCAACATCCCCAGGTTCCTTTCCTCTTCACAGTCATCCAGCCACTCAGCCCCAAGCCTGTAGCATTGCATGGGGTTATTATGGCTAAAGTGCAGGACAGAATCACAGAATTGTAGGGGTTGGAAGGGACCTCCAGAGATCATCGAGTCCAACCCCCTGCCAAAGCAGGTTCCCTACACCAGGTCGCACAGGCAGGCATCCAGGCAGGTCTTGAACATCTCCAGAGAAGGAGACTCCACCACCTTCCTGGGCAGCCTGTTCCAGTGCTCCGTCACCCTCACAATAAAGAAGTTCCTTCAAACATTTGTGTGGAACTTCCTATGCTGCAGTTTCCGGCCATTTCCCCTTGTCCTGTCACCATTCACCACTGAAAAGAGTCCATCCTCGCCACTATGCCCCCCACACCTCAGATATTTATAAACCTGGATTAGATCCCTTCTCAGTCGTCTTTTCTCAAGGCTGAACAGACCCAGTTCACTCAGCCTTTCTTCGTAGGAGAGATGCTCCAGGCCCTTCACCATCTCTATGGCCCTCTGCTGGACTCTTTCCAAGAGATCCCTGTCTTTTTTGTACTGGGGAGCCCAGAACTGGATGCAGTACTCCAGGTGAGGCCTTACCAGGGCAGAGTAGAGGGGGAGGATCACCTCCCTCGACCTGCTGGACACGCTCTTTTTAATGCACCCCAGGATGCCATTGGCCTTTTTGGCCACAAGGGCACACTGCTGGCTCATGGCCAACCTGTCATCCACCAGGACACTTAGGTCCCTCTCTGCAGAGCTCCTCTCCAGCAGCTCATCCCCCAGCCTGTACTGGTGCATGCAATTCTTCCACCTCAGGTGTAAGACTCTACACTTGCTTGGACCTGGCACTTGGCCTTGTTGAACCTCATCCCATTCACCTCAGCCCAGTGATACAGCTGGATCGTTCTCAAGGGCCTCCCTACGCTCAGGCAGACCAATACCACCTCCCAACTTGGTGTCATCTGCAAACTGTCTGAGGGTTCACTCGATCCCTTCATCTAGGTCATCATTAAACAAGATGGGCCCCAGTACTGAGCCCTGAGGGACAGCACTTGTAACGGGTCACCAGCTGGACTACTACCCCTTGGGCATAGCCCTCTAGACAGTTCTTTACCCAGTAAAATGGAAGGCATTACTTCCACAGCAGTCGTCAAGCATTTAATCCACTCTTTGGACTTAAATTCTCTGCTCTCAGAATTCCTCAAGGCCCCATGATTCAGCTACCACTATCAGTTCAAGGTAAACTACAAGCACCAAGCATCTTTAGGTTTTCAGCAAGGATCACAAAACTGAAGGTGGTTTTGGATGACTTTATGTATCCTTCTTACACAAAGAAAAATTCTCGTAACATTTCTATTTTTTTTTTTATTTTTTTTTTTACATTTGTTTGCGAAACTAAAAGCGCTAAGCATTTTGTAGAAAATACTTCCAAACTCTGTTGACCATTTAATACATCTGCAACACACCTGCAGTAATAACATTTGGCAGTTTCAAATCAAACGATAGTGGAGTTTGACACAATTAGGCAAGAAAGTGCATAGTAAGTAAAATATTAATAAAGATTTCAACAAAGAGAAATTCTTTGAAATATTTCTGAGTATTGAAATATTTGTTACTGAATTACTTCTTCCCTCACATAGCACTGTTATACCATTCCTAATTTCAGAAACACTGTACCAAATGATACTGCATGAGTTATAAATGGCTAACAAAATATTTTAGTTTTTATGGAATGTACAAGCTTAGAACCCAAAATTATTAATAATAAAGTAGCCAAGCATTAAGTAGGATGTAAAAATAGGTGTCCTGGTTCAGAATAATAGTCTCCCTCAGAATACTGTCTCTAACAGTCACCAAACATAGATGCCTCAAGACGAACATGAATAGAGCAAACTCACATTAATGTTGTCAAAGAATATAGTTTTAACACCGAAGAACTTGTAGTTCAATAATTAGCAATTTTATATTTAATTAGTTTCAATGGGTTTCTCTAAAGTAAACTTGCCATGCTGCCTCTTATAAATTTACAGCATCCACAATATCTAGTGGATACGAGATCCAACGCCTAACTAGACACTGTTCTACATCCAACTTAATGGTTTCTCTCCCATTTCCATCTGCTTTTACTCATTTAAACTAAATTTCATTTGTCATTTAAACATCCTATCAGTCCTGTAATGTCTTCCTGTGATTCTCCACAGGCAGTGTTGTCTTTAAAAACTCTTCATAACTTATGATCAGCAAATATCACTCTTTATCTCCTTTACTTATGAGTCTGTGATGAGCTACAGAACCCTATGAATCTACAGCTGAGATTCCCAATCTCTTTTCATCACTCCTTCATTCACCATACATGAATCACAGAATCATAGAATGCTTTGGGTTGGAAGAGACCTTTAATATCATCAATTTCCAACCTCCCGCTACAGGCAGGGACACCTTCCTCTAGACCAGGGTGCTCAAAGCCCCATCCAGCCTGGCCTTGAATGCTTCCAGGGAGGGGATATCCACAACCTCACGGCTAGCACGGGTTTTTAGGTTCACCCTGGGACCTGAGGACCAAGATCTTGCTGCTAAACCATAGGTGCAATTTCTCCTTGGAATTCTCTGTCCCACCAGTACCCCATGATCTTTGTTTCAGATGGTTATATTTTCCCATTTGCGTTCTGCTTTTACTTCAGATCTCATTGCCTACCTCTATCCAACAGTACAGCAGATTTAGTGGCTCACATATCTCACCTAGTTGCGTATGGATGTTTCTCACTCAAACCTCCTGTTACGGTTTCAGCATCTACTGTGTCACCTTGTATGATGGTGCTCTCTTCGCCCCCCACTTTGCCTGGTCATTATGTCCAAGGCCTAGTGCATACAATGAGGTGCAAAGGGCCTTATCCTTGGGACTAATAACAACCAAAGTTTCACCACTGGCACTCAGACACCTAGTAACAGAAACCTAGCTCAACAGAACCAATTCTAAGTTGCATAATTACAAGTCAGTCATCTTACTCTATAAATAGCAAGCAGGCAAAGAATCCCCTGAAAAGTGTTCTTGCAAGCAGCGGGCTGCACACCAGAATCTCCCCTTGAGCAGGGATGCTCTTCAAGGTGCAGAGATTCATTCAGAACATGGTTACGCCTTGCTAACAGATCCTTGGCAAACAATTTACTGTTTTTAAGTTATACTAGCTTTGCTAAGATTTGATCTTAGATTCATTATGCACCCCCCTACCCTCTGTGTAGGAAATAATAAAGGCTATTTAGCCATTTTGAATCTTGTTAAGTTGCTGTTATCATTGCTCAAATTACCACCTTAGTTATATCAATAAATATCTTTCTGCCTTTTGAGAGGAGCGTGCAGTGCTTTGGTCTCCTTCGACAATACCTTGCAAGGTAGAAAACCCCACTATATTGCAGCATATAAGGACTTGACTTCCTCGAAGTCAACATTTTTAATCCTCTTCTCAGGATAGAAGACGAACACATGTCATATCACCACTATGGATTTTCCAAAATCTAAGCTCACAATCTCTAGCAGGTATGCTGAAAGGACTCCAGGCAAACCACACAGAGAAGCACTTATTCAGGTGATAGAGTTGCTATCAACTGCTGTTGCTCAGCAATGCACACTACTGTGTCAATTCTGGAAACAAAACCGACTTGACTACTTCCTCCTCCATTTTCACTTTTCTGCACAGATGTGTGATATAGTACAAACTTGTGAAAGGGTATAAAATCCTGTTTAAATCCAAGTCACAATAGTGACAAAAAGGTAGCAGCAAATGCTTGAGATTTAGCCAGCAAGCCAAGAAAAATGTTTCATTGTGTTCCTACAGCTTCTCCTGCCCCTTTTAGCTACATTAGGCAAATACAGGTGTGTTCATAGCAATACTTTTCATTGTCCTCTCAAAAAAGAAACGTGCCAAGGAATCACAGTATCACCTGCAAATTTCCCATTGTCATCTGCAATTTTAATAATGATTGTTGTTAGAATTCATGATTGCTATTATTCACTGATTTGCTGACTTAAGTCATCCGGTGCGAGATTCTTTCTAATGCTTTAATGCTTTCCTTTTCCACTATTTTTTTTAAAAAGTGTTATTTTCTATCTGTGAATTCAACATAAACCAACAACCGTATTTTCAGGTGGGGAAACCTGAATCTTACATGGGGCTTCGATCTAAAAGAAAATGAAAAAAAAAAAAAAAAAAAAGAGAGAGAGAGAGAGGGAGAAAGAAAGAAAGAAGGAAGCCCTCAAACTGAGGGCTTGGGACCCTTAAGCCGCCACGCAGGAGCACCAGAGCAGGATTCACTGCAGTCCGCGGCTGACGGTGGGCTTCGTGGGCTGTGAGCTGACACCCAGATTGAGGGGCTCTGAGGGGTGGGACAGGGACTGCAGGTCTGCACAGAGAGAGGGAGGGACAGGCAGCACCTCGGGGCGCCTTCCCTCCCACGGAGGGGACGCAACAGGGCACTGTAGCCCGCCGCTACACGGCACCTGACTAACAAGAACGCGCACCGCGGCTCACCCCGGGGCTGCTAGGCTGCCACCTCCCAGCGCCCACCCCCGTTCTCGGAGCTCGACCCGCGGCGGCGTTCCTTAGCCCGCAGCCACTCCTCCCCGCGGCTCCGCGCACGCCAAAGTTTCGCCGCTCGCGACCCAGCGATGCGGGGTCCCTCCCCGGACCCTCCGCCCTCCGGGCCTCCCCCCTCACCGTCCCAGCTCGGACTCCAGATCGAAGTAGTGTGTCAGGGTGTCCTTATTAGAGCCGTCGATCCAGTAGTCGGGCGCAGGGCGGCCGGCCGAGCTCGAGGCAGAGGTGGAGGGCATGGTGACTTTCAGCGGAAAGTGACGGACACCGGGCAGTCCCCCACTCTGCTCCGCACCGGCTGTAGGCTGGAAGCGACGGGGCTGCTAAAGCAGCGGCTGCAGCGGCTTCCCAACGGCACCCCCAGCTCGGGAGGCGGGCCCGGGGCGGGGCGCGGGGCCGAGGGCGGGAGCTCGGCTGCTGCCGGCGGTGGGCGTGGGGCCGGGGCTGGGCGGTGGGCGGTGGCGCTGGGACGCGGCCCGGCTGGAGGCGAGCAATGCGGCTTCGCGGCGCAGAGCTGGAAGGCGGGTAAGGAGATGAAATTGCCGTGCTGCAATGGCACTCCGAGCAGGTTATGAAATCTGCAGCTCATGCGATACGTGCAGATGTAACATATTATATCGCTGGGTATAGCGATCCCAGCAAGGAGTCGGTGCGAAGGCAGCTTCTGCTGGTATGCTGGTGAGATCCAGCAGCAGCAGCAGCTGTGCGTTCCTCGCATGCACCGCACCAGCCGCTCCACGGCCTTGCCGTGCCACGCACTCACCGCCGCCCCCGTGCACACGGGCCATGTGCAGGCCGCGCCGCAGCTCCGACATCGTGTCCTGTCCTCCCGTCACACGCCTGCTTCTGAACGCTGAATTCCCTACGTAGAGCATAGCGTCCTTTTCAGTGCTGGGTGTATAGCCGTATTTCTCAACGTGGCTTGTTTTCCCCCTACAAACAAGTCTGACTCCTGCTATTCCTCTTCTTCCTTCTCTAACTCGGGGGCAAATGATCTCCAATTTTAATTTCTTAATTCATCAAAGGGCTACACATATATAAATAAAGATAATAAAGAAGAAAAGCTCTTCTTTGTTCAGTCAGATAGTAGAAAAACATGTTAGTCTGGTCTTTTCAAATGGAAGGATAAAAAATAGAAATACAAGACAAAAGAGAGGTAATGCCCTTTCCCATCAAGTTAACTTATTGCTGTTTTAAAATTAAAATACAGATCCCCATCGTGATTTGAGATTGCATCATTTCCAAACTAATCTTGGGAAGAGTGAAAAAAAAAGTAATCCTGAGCCCTGCTTTGAAATCCAAAATCCCCTCAGACCCACAGTATGCAGAGCCTGACCAGGCTGGGGCTGGCAGTGGGTACACAGCATTTCACTGTTGATCGTGCCTGCACCTAGCTCTCTGCTGACCCTCCCTCTCCTGGCCAGCATGGAACTTTTCTTCATAGAGCTTTGGTTGCTAGGTGATATTTCCTTCTTTCTTCTTATGGCATTTTCTGACACATCTCCTGAGAAAAGGAACGGTCACTGCTTGTGGAAACCCCATACGCTCACAGAATGGCCAATCAGCGCACTATAAGGCAACTGTGTTCTGTACTGTATTTTTGTTCAGTCACATATCTAACATATTCCGTAACCCATAGGGTACATATGTGTTGAGGATTTTTTTGAACAGTTTTAGTGGATTTTTTTTTTATCAGATTCATATCTCAGGTGTTCTAGATATGCTTCTTATGAGACTTTCTTTGTTAATGGCATAGCAGCAGCAGATCTTTTTATGTACTGGGCCACCTAGGTAGAATTAGATCATCTGTAAAGGTCCCTTCCAACCCAAACCATGTGAAAGGCATTGACTTCCCTTAAAATCCTGTCTCAAAGTGAGCTGGGTCACACCATATTGACAACCAAGTACTTTGAGACTGACTGGCCTTGTTCTCCAGAAACTCCATAGAATAACAGAATCATTATGGTTGGAAAAGACCTCTAAGATCACCAAGTTCAATCATCAACCCATCCCCACCATGTCCAAAACTATGTACCTCAGTACCACATCTGCATGTTACTTAAATGCCTTCAGGGATTTCCTCCACCTCGCTAGGTAGCCCAAACCAATGCATCACCACTCTGTCTGAGAAGAAATGTTTCCTAATATGCACCTGAACCTTCCTGGAAATGAAGAAAAAGAAGCTTAAGAAGAAAAAAAAAAAAAGATAATATAGCAATATGTAAATACAATCATATGCACTTAAAGTCTTCAGGTTGCATACTGTATGTGACCAGCACATGAAAGCCCCTTTCAGCCTCCAGAGAACCAAGGCAGCATTTCAAACATGAGGTGCTCTGGTTGTGTCAGAGATTTGTTCACAATGCGCTGATTTGCATTGTCATTGCTGGACAAAAGATTAAACTGCTAAGGAAAACTCATTTATGTATTTATGGCATGCTGTGTGTGTAAAATTTTATTTTGGAGACACAAATACTATAGTTTTCCTGACAACAAACCTAGGTTACAAATTCAGAGGAAAAATGCAGGCCCAGGAGGCATGCAATTTTTGCAGAGGAAGCAGTTTTTATAAACACAAAAATAAAGACAGAAACTGTCAAACCTCCTACCCCTATTCTACCACTTACAAATTAATCTTAAAGCAGAATGTTTATCTGGTGTGTTGGTGGATATGAGATCGGTAATCTTTCTGCCCTCCTCTGGCTGTGATTCTGCCTTGTGAAATAATATTACCCTTTTGTACAGTCATTACTACACTGGATATAAGCAGTTCACAGTTCACAGAATTTCCTTCAAAAATAAACACAGGACAAGAACTTCTTAAACTTTGCTTCTAATCTTTCATACAATTCTAGCAGCTAGATCTTGGGAAGAAAACATAAGAACAAGCAAATTCTGTCCAGAGTTTTGAACAGCTTGTTCGTAAGTTGTGTACATGTATTGAAAGAGCAGTATGTTAGCCTTGCCATCTTAGGCCGGTATTCTTCAACAAACTGCCTTCAACCAGCATATATATTCAGGATATTAAAATAAAAAGGATCTGTCCCATAGGCATATACAGAAAGTGTTGCTTATTGAAGGTACAAAGTGTCCGTATGCAAAATAGAAAACACAGTTATATGTAATAAGCACTCTGTCAGAGATTGTGCTCACTGAAGAATATTTGTCATAGAATCATAGAATCTTAGAATCATAAAATGGCTTGGGTTGCAAAGGACCACAATGATCATTTCATTCCAACCCCTTGCTATGTGCAGGGTCGCCAACCAGCAGACCAGGCTGCCCAGAGCCACATCCAGCCTGGCCTTGAATGCCTCCAGGGATGGGGCATCCACAGCCTCCTTGGGCAACCTGTTCCAGTGTGTCACCACCCTCTGGGCCAAAAAACTTCCTCCTAATATCTAACCTAAACCTCCCCTGCCTCAGTTTAAAACCATTCCCCCTTGTCCTGTCACTATCCACCCTCGTAAACAGCCGTTCTCCCTCCTGTTTATAAGCTCCCTTCAAGTGCTGTAAAGCCGCAATGAGGTTTCTTTGGATCCTTCTCCAAGCTAAACAAGCCCAGTTCCCTCAACCTTTCCTTAGGAGAGGTGCTCCAGCCCTCTGATCATCTTAGTGGCCTCCTCTGGATCTGTTCCAAGAGCTCCACGTCCTTCCTGTGCTGGGGGCCCCAGGTCTGGACACAGTGCTGCAGATGGGGCCTCACAAGAGCTGAGTAGAGGGGGACAACCACCTCCCTCTCCCTGCCGGCCACTCCTCTTTTAATGCAGCCCAGAACACAGTTGGCCTTCTGGGCTGCAGGTGCACACTGCTGGCTCATGTCCAGCTTCTTGTCCACCAGGACCCCAAGTCCTTCTCTGCAGGGCTGCTCTCAAGGAGATCTTCTCCCAGTCTGTGTAAATACCTGGGATTGCCCTGACCAAGTGCAGCACCTTGCACTTGGCCTTGTTGAACCTCATTAGGTTTTCTCCGCTTCTCCAGCCTGTCCAGGTCCCTCTGGATGGCTTCCCTTCCTTCCAGTGTATTGATTGCACCACTCAGCTTGGTGTCATCTGCAAACTTGCTGAGGGTGCACTCGATGCCATCGACTGTGTCACTGATGAAGATGTTGAAGGACACCGGTCCACTGAGGGACACCGCTTGTGACTGGCCTCCACCCTGACACAGAACCATTGATTACAGCCCTTTGGCTGCATCCAGCCAGCCAATTCTTAATCCCTCCAACAGTCCATCCTTCAAATCCACACCGCTCCAATTTAGAGAGCAGGATGTGGTGAGGGACCATGTCAAAGGCCTTGCAGAAGTCCAGGTAGATGACATCCACCATCCTTCCCCCATCCACTGAAGCCATCATTCCATCATCGAAGGCCACTAGATTGGTCAGGCACAATCTGCCCTTGGTGAAGCCATGCTAGCTGTCTCAAATCACCTCTTTGTCTCATATGTGCCTTAACATACCTTCTCTCCAAACAGTTTGCAGACAGTAGGTCTTTCTTCCTGATGCAGATGATCCAGTATTGTAATCAACTTATACATTCGTTTTCTTGATCTAATGCTTGTGGTATTATATGCCATGCATATAATGCAGAGTAGGTCTTTTAAAAAAAAAACCTCTGGATCCAAGCCTCTGTAGTATATGGCCATCAGCTAGGAATGCCAAAACCCTCTGCATTGTCTCTGTTGGAAAATAGGCCTTACGACTTCTATTGGACAAGTTTCTCTTAGTCTCATATGTCATCATATTTAATGCTGTCTTACATGTAAATCTGAGCCTACTTATTGATTTTTAGAGCTGCTGGATAAAGACAGATTCTTTTATCAGCTGTTTATGTGAGTAGATTAAATCTGGTAAGAATGAGCACAGGGTGCAATGGTAGGCCATCAGAAGAGTAATGGTTGGGATGATGTGTTCTTATGCCATAAGAGGGAGAACAAGCTGTCATGAGATCCTTCACAGAGTGGCAATAGAGTGGAAAGAAGGAGGGTAGCAACAAGCTCAGATGTTTTGAAGTCTAGACCACTCTTTTACCAGTATCTGGTGAAAGGAAATGCGTAAACAAAGATAAAAAGGCGACTGCCTGAGGAAGGACAATTAGAAAGTAGTGTGATTTAGCCATTCCTGAACCACACTCTTTGTGCCCCAGTTATCAGTAGGATCATTTTATAATCATTGTAGGAGGATACATGGAACTGCTACCTTTGCAAGATAGTCATGGCTCTCATCTTTTGTGTCCCTTTT